CTACCTGCTGCCTGTCTACCTGCTGCCTGTCTACCTGCTGCGTGTCTCCCTCTGTGAAGGGCAGCTTGGTGGAGACGTGGAACATGACCTCCTGCTGTCGGTGGACGGTGTAGACGGACTGAGACCCCGTCTGACCGTGAGACACATCCAGACCCCCCCGGAACCTGAACCGAGGGAGGAGGGACATCTAGTATTTACCTTTTGATTTGTTAATGAAGTAATAAAACAAAGTCTGAGTGTCTCGCTTCACGTTTTCTTCCTTCTGTCCATTAAAGGTTTGAGTCAAAAGTGGAAAGTTGAACAAGAAACAAGAATTTAATTATCTTTAAAGTCCAGTTAACAAAACATTTGCTGAAACAGAGACAAATAAGGTTAAATTGTCATGTGATCATATTTTGTTATGTGTAATATTTTACCTGTATTAATAAAAAAAACATAAAATATTAGTTTCTTTAATAAATTGAATCAAAAACTAAAATACTATTGATCTACATGCAGAACAACTTCCTTATCAACGTCCACCTTTTTTATTTCTTCAATTTTTTTTTATTACAAATATATTTATTTTCATATTTTAAATGTTATTCATTCCTGTTTTTGTATTTCTCTGTTGGTTTGGTTTTAAATCTTTCTTGCGTTGTCTGTAAATTAATTTTATCAAATATAGTTTCACATTTTGTATTTTCTTAACGAGCAGTATTTTCTGTGTTGTGCTCGTTGAAAACACAATAAAGATAAAAGTATGAAAAAAGAAAACGGTTATCTTTACTGCTTTGTTGCTCCTCACCCTTTGAAGTCCTGCAGCTCCACCGTGTCTCCCAGCAGCTCAAGGAACTCTGTGAAGGCCGGCGTCTCCTCGTTGTTCCTGAACAGCTCCTCCTCAGACACCTGGCGGACAGGTGAGAGGCTCATCACATAATATGATAACTAAACTATCATCTAAAGGTTATTACGTCAAAACGTTACCTGTCCAGATCTCTGGAACACGACTCCAAACTTGAAGGTGTTGTTCACCTCGTGTTCGTCATAGTTTACGATCAGCTGAGAGGCCTGATGACAGACAGACAGACTATCAGAGAGACAGACAATCAGAGAGACAGACAATCAGACTATCAGAGAGACAGACAATCAGAGAGACAGACAATCAGACTATCAGAGAGACAGACAATCAGAGAGACAGACAATCAGACTATCAGAGGGACAGACAGACAGACTATCAGAGGGACAGACAGACAGACAGACTATCAGAGAGACAGACAGACTATCAGAGGGACAGACAATCAGACTATCAGAGGGACAGACAGACAGACTATCAGAGGGACAGACAATCAGACTATCAGAGGGACAGACAATCAGACTATCAGAGAGACAGACAGACAGACAGACAATCAGAGAGACAGACAATCAGACTATCAGAGAGACAGACAGACAGACTGACTATCATAGAGACAGACAGACAGACTATCAGAGAGACAGACAGACAGACAGACAGACTATCAGAGAGACAGACTATCAGAGAGACAGACAGACTATCAGAGAGACAGACAGACAGACAGACAGACAGACAGACTATCAGAGAGACAGACAGACAGACAGACTGTTGTCTCCTGTCCTCCAGTATAACCTCATGGAGGTGTTGAGGGTGTAGCAGCTCACCTTTGGGTAGAGGACGGGACAGAAACGTAGAGCTGCTGCTTCTTCACACAGCAGCTTTAAGACACAAACAGCCATCATGAGACGTTTAAAGACTCAACATCAAAGAAGCAGACATGAGGTTTGTATTCATAAGAACTTTGTGTTTGTACCTTAGCGAGCTCTGGGACACTGGGGATGTCAGGAAGCTCCGTCAGAGACAATCTGTGGTAGACGCTCTTCACCCGAGACCTGCAGGGACAACAAGAGACAAAGAGACCTGAACCTGGTCCACAACCTGATGAGGAACCCCACAAAAGAGCTGGAAATCATAGCATATTTAAACAGTCTGTCCCCCTAACTACTAAAGGTCAGAGGTCAAACATGTGAGGGGTCTGAGGTCTACTGAGAGTGAGACAGGTTCATGAGGTCGTACCTGATGATGACGTGGAGAGAGTCCTGATCCGGCTCCTCCTCATGTCTCACTGACAGGAGAAGGTTTCCAACACTGCTGGCTGAGCAGGAGAAGTTCAGATGTTCCTGAGAGACAGACAGGAGGAGAGAGAGACAGATACAAAGAGACAGACAGGAGGAGAGAGAGACAGATACAAAGAGACAGACAGGAGGAGAGAGAGACAGATACAAAGAGGCAGACAGGCAGAGACAGACAGACAGGTGAGAGAAAGAGACAGACAGAGAGACAGAAAGATAGACACTTTAAAAATAAAGACAACGTGCAAGGCCAGCCAATCAGAGAGCAGGATTTAAATCATACATGTTCACTTCAGCCTCAACATTATTAAATATTTAAACAGTTGAACCACCAATCAGAGCTCAGGATATGTAACCATAGCAACAAACCTCACCCTGCCCAAGAAGTGCTTCCTGTAAGCCCGCACTGCCTCGCTGATCTCCTCCAGCCGGTACCCATAATCCCCTGGGGCGGTGTCTTCCTCCTCTCTCCCTCCCCCCTCCCGCTCCTCCTCCTCCTCCTCCTCCAGGGAGGTGGGAGGAGGAGGAGGAGGAGGGGGGTCGGCCTCAGGATCCTCTATCCAGTATCCTCCAAACTCAGGCAGGATGACCTGAGGGTAAGGGGCCCCCCTCTCCAGCACCTGCGACACACACACCAGAAATATTACCCAACATGCACTGCAATGTAATTTTAAGTTGTTACAAAGAAACAAGGGCAACATCTTTTTAAATGAACTTGCTGTGAGGGGCCCCAGAAACTGTGAGGGGCCCAGAAGTGGTCAGGGACCCAAAAGTGGTCAGGGGACCAGAATTTGTCAGGATGACAGAAACTGTTCGAAGCTGTGAAGGGCCTAGAATTGGTCAGGGGCTCAAAAGCAGTCAGGGGCCAGAAACTGTCAAAAACCCAGAAACTGTCAGAAACTGTCAGGGGCCCAGAGACTGTGTGGGGCCCCGGGGGCCAATCCCAGTTATGTTACCCTGCTGGTAACGTCACCTCTACACTCCTCACTGATGGTTTCTCTTTAAGAGATTCTTTAAGTGAGTTTTAAGAAGTTGTGAGTTCAGAAGGACACAGATGTTCGGTCTCACCTCCTCGATCCTCGGATAAGGAATGTAGTCGTCCTGAAAGAGACACACACAGCAGTTACACACATGACAACACACACACATACACACGTACACACACACACACACACACACAGACACACCACACAGGTGGATAAACTGCATGAGTGATGATGTTGAACACAACAGATGTTCCAGATTGTGGACGTTGAAGCTGAAGATCTTCGCAGGAACCAGGAAGAGCGCCACGCTTTCTTAAAAATATGTTTTTTCCCATAGACTTAAATTGGAAAACTCAGCATATAATTTGTTTTTCAGGAAGGCGGCAACCTCCGGTTTCTGAAGAGGGAAGTCAAAGCTTCGTGTGTTAAAGCTGCATTCTCTCTACTGACCAGCAGGGGGTGACTCCTCTGATTGTATCGAAGTCTATGAGAAAATCACAGTGGTCGCCATCTTGTTTTTTTTTGCAACCAGTGAACAGGAAGTGACCATATCTGGACTGAGGAGTGACGTAGAGACGACGTATACGTCTCTGGTAGAGACCTGTCAATCACTGTGTAGCCCCGCCCTAAAGCATCCCCTGCTTTATGGTCTGTGTGACTCTAAATGGACCATAATGTACTAAATGAACATCATGCTGTATTGAAGAAGACTTGAAACTAGAGATTGAGACCATAAACTCATGTTTACAATGTTTACTGAGGTAATAAATCAAGAGAGAAGTAGAGTCATTTTCTCATAGACTTCTATACAACCAGAGGAGTCACCCCCTGGTGGACATTAGAGAGAATGCATTGAGACTACTGTAATTTATCGATGTTTTTAAGTCCTTTCTGTAAAATAATTAGTGAACCGTTCCTCACAACTTTTTTTTATTTGTGAACAAATCGCCTACAATGAAACTTTATTTAAATGTTTTATAAATCATTTGATTACAAAATATGATTTTTACCGGGCAAATGTTTCCAGGAGAATTAAATAATAAAATGATAAAATAATTACGAAACTTAAATTTACACGAAACAGAAGTGAGCGGATGGACATGAGGACAGACAGATGGACAGACGTGCCTTCTGTCTCTGAGGGATTGTCTTCATCTCAGCAGCTTCTGGAACCTGCTGCACCGGCATCAGGAAGAGAAACACAAGCGTTAAGATCGAGACCGTTGACTCACAGAAAAGAGCTTTAAAGACGCCAGTAAAACGCTTCAAACAAGACGCAAACACAAAGAAATAGTTACTTTGTTTGGGACTATTTTCAGCAGCGGATGAGTAGCTTAGCTTAGCTTAATTTAGTTTAGATTAGCTTAGCTTAGTTTAGTTTAGTTTAGTTTAGCTTAGCTTAGCTTAGTTTAGTTTAGCTTAGCTTAGTTTAGTTTAGTTTAGCTTAGATTAGTTTAGCTTAGCTTAGTTTAGTTTAGATTAGTTTAGCTCAGTTTAGCTTAGTTTAGCTCAGTTTAGTTTAGTTTGGTTTAGTTTAGCTCAGTTTAACTTATATTATTTGTACATGGGATTGAGTTCGTGGTGATTAAGGAACAACAGTGAGGCCCACTGATGTGTTTTAATGGAGGTCTATGGCTCAGAGGAAGACGAGATACATGTCACACATGACACAAACCAGGATTACAAATAGATAACATCCAGAAAAAAGAAGAAAAAAGTGTCTAAAAAGATTTAGAAATAACACTCGAAACCATCAAAAATATTACGCGCATTTAAAAGGCTTTGTTAGACACAAGAAGTGAAGAAACATTGTGCGATGTGTTGTCTATTATTCCCCATTGACACACATCGCTTCACTGTTTCAGCTGCATCCGTTCAAAGCAGAATGAATATTAACATATTTTACAGCAGGAAGGAAAAAACACATATTAGCAAACTAAATTAGATTTGAGATTAAATTCTTACCTCCATCTTGTCCATCAAGTCAAAAAAATGAGCCGACTGGAGACAAGCAGAGAGAGAAAGATGTGTTGAGTTTTGTTTTTTTAAGTGTTTTTGTAAATTTGTGGTTGTTTTAAGGGTCAAGACTTTAAGGATTTAATAAAATGTAAAATAAATTCTCCAATAAAAGCTAGAACAAATAAAGACGGTTAAAAACCTAGTGGTGTAGTTATAATTACATCCTATTATAATTATAATGGCTCACATAGGAAAAGCTGCATTAAAATACAGCGTTTAAACAAAGAATAAATGTAACAAAAGGTAACAAGTAACAAGTAATAAGAAAACAAAACAAGAATAACCAATAAAATGAACAGTTAATGTATACGGCAAATTATAAAATTAAATTAATAAATATATGTTTTTAAAGGAGCAGGCAGAAATAAAAACTTCATCGTCTTAATATACGATGAAAATACAGAACTAATTATAAATTGTTATCACGATAAATGAACAGCAATCTTACGATCAAATGTAGAATTTATAACATCTTTTCTGGATCTGATAAAAGAAAATGTAAATGAAGGGATTATTGAGCTGCAGGACTTTTTATCAAAGATGTTGAGTATCGTTGACAGTGATAAAAAAACAAAACATTGTAAAACCAACTGGAAATAAAACGTCATAAAATATCTGACTGTTCTCTCTGAAGTTGAGGTAAACAAAGTTCCCTTTTGCGCAGCTTAAAATGACGGTCCTGAAAAGTGCAGATAAACAAAACTGAGTGTGTGTGTGTGTTACCTTCATGGTGGGGGGTGCGGTGCGGGGGGGAGAGGGGGGGCAGTCTCCAACAGCAACATTGGAGATGGTCAGAAGCTCCTGTTTACTGAAAATCAATAACAATATAGTTATCCTTAAACTGGTTACAAATATTCAGTGTATTTTTAGAGACAATATTAATTATACAACTATTCAAAAGATGTATTTGTCACGTTTAGCGAAATGTTGCACAATACAAGTAGAATATATTATTAACAGCTAAGTTAACAGATAAAATGTAATATTTTATAAAGGTGAGCAAAATAGTAAACATATACAAGATACCAAACATTTAAAAAAATGAAAAGTAGGTGATACATTTTTTTTGTTTAAAATGTAGTAAACTTTTAAAATAATAATCTCTCACGTTTGTAGTGAAGTAAAACAACATTGAGCGCTAACGAGCTTCTTATCTGTCAATTAAGAAGCTTGTTGGTCTGATTGTTTTTTTACCCTTTTCAGTAAATCTTTATTGATCGAAACGACGATCAATTCTGAGGAATAAAAGGCCCGGTTCAGAGAAGCAGTATTCAGAGCCTTTACTACAGTGAAAGTACTAATACTACACTGTGTGTGTGTGTGTGTGCATGTGAGTGAGTGAGTGAGTGAGTGAGTGTGTGTGAATCCAGGTTTTATCTGAGCGCTACACATCATCATTTTATTTGTCACAGAGAAGCGATGAATCGGTCTCTAAAGATAGAGCTTCAATCTGTCAGGAGCCTCCACACACACACACACACACACACACACACACACACACACACACACACATCAACTGCACCATCCAGCCAGACGACCATTCATTTCCTTTTCCCTCAGGCGAGTCGGCTTCACACATGCTCACTGGCGGTTGCCATGGATACGTCGGGTGTCAAAAAAGAAGAAGAAGAAGAAGAAGTCGACCTGGGTTAAACTTTTGGAGGAGAAGCCAGCAGCCAATCACGTCGCGTCGCCGGTCTGCTGTCAGACCTTCAAAGAATTTATGATTTATACTCAATACTTAAATATTGATGACTCAGGATTTTACATAAAACAAATTATTGTAGACTCATGATGGATGTGTATATATACTGTATATGTATTTATATATATTTTCTTTTTTTATATTATGTGTATTTTTATTGATATATGAACTTTCATTTTGACTTGATCATTAATTATATTAATGACTTGATTTCAATTTTGTGGATAAAATCTAGAAACCATTGTTTGTATATATATATATATTCCAGTTATATACTGTATATAAATATATATATGCATGTTTACAGGGTAGGAAATTTACATATTTTTTAGGGGGCAATTTTTGCCCCCACTGACTGAAATCCAGGGCATTTAAAAATAAATTGGGGGCACTTTTTGAAACTTGTGAAATAACATTTAACCTTTGTTCAAAATAATAAATATACTTATTTAGGCTTACAATATATGAGCAATTGTCATCAAATGGCAATAATAAGACTATTAGGCAGTAGTCTACAGATTCAAAGTGTTTTCTTAGATTTTCTGAACAAAAAACAAACATAAATCAGACAATCATATTCAATTTATTCTTATTATTTGTGGTTATTTATTGTTATTATTACATTTTTTAAACAACTATTAACAATTATTAAGTCAACGATGCCTTGATTACATACACATCAGTCATTGTGTGGAATTTTTGAGAAAACCATTTTTATAGCACCTTAAAAATGTCAGAAATGTGCCATTTGAAGGTACAAACTCAGTTCAGAGTTGTTGCTTAGTAAAATATCTTAATTGACTGTCAGTCAGGTATTATTCATTAGCAACCCTCAAATCAAAGAATAAAGACACTTTACTCACAATTTAGGTGTATTTTCTCTTTAACTCACGAGATGCAGGTAGCATGTTTTATACTTAGTGTGAATATAATTCATACTTTGTTGTCATCTTATTCTGAAAACCGGATGTTCGTCTGAAGAAACCGGATGTTGTCTCACGTTAATCTTTTCGTTAACTTTCAAAGTCGTTCGCTCGCTCCGATTCTGTGCTGTTTGAATGCGTTTACCGTGAATGTCAGCATATAGGAGCACTAACATGTGAGTCTTCTACAGCAACTGGACCGGGTCATATAGGCTACGATGTTTTTGACAAGTTCATTAAATTATCATTATTATTAGAGGAAATTTTGGGGGCATTTTTTGCCCCTCTCCTAGTGATATCAGGGGCAACATTATATTCCTTAGTGGCAGTTTTGCCCTTTGCCCTCGTGTATTTCCGACGCTGTGCGTTTATATGCGGTCAGAATCTAAAGGACCCGATCGTTTTGCTTAAGTATGGTGGTAATCAATATAAATGAACGGTAGTCAAAGATATATATATATATACATATATATATACATATATATACGTATA